CCCCAAAACCCCAAAACCCCAAAACCCCAAAACCCCACTATGATAATTATTGTAATTTTGAAATGAAAATAAGCTTATTATTAAATAATAAATCAATCATGCTTATTGATCATTTCAATAAATTAAGCTACTTTTCTTTTTTTAGATCTTGTTTCTCTTTTTCTCTTCTCCAAATAATATATTAATGCTAATCCAAAAACAATCTAAATTAGATACATCCAAAGTATTCTGGTATATTTGTGCTCAATGTACTATATACTCTAAGGAAAAGTATTCATCCAGTCATTTAATTGTTGATTATATGTTTCATCAGGCTTTAACCCACAAGTTTTTTCATAGCCTTCAGTATCTCCATAGTATGTTTTCGATTTACTTAGAGTTATGAAATTCTTATACTCGCATTTCTTTACATTTTGACATGCTTCTGGTAGAAATTGTTCCACCCCATTAACCGAGATATTTACATAGTAAGTAGTAGTATCAATCTTAATTTTGTGAAGTTCAATTAAAATTGTAGAAGAATAATTCAAAAGTCTATCTGTTAATCTATAATTGATAGCATTTGCAAAATTGAGTAGCATGTCATCATCTGCTTGGTACATATAAAATTTAATTCTTCTTTCAGCTCTTTGGAGGGAGCCATTAGTGTCCAAGTCAATAGTACTCTAAAACAGTGATAGTATTTCAGTAAAAATCTATGTGAGGAACGCTTTTGAAGCTGTTGAATTCATTGCTAAAGTTAAGTTTTGATATTCATTATACATTCGAGTCATATTATATACAAATCTTGGAGGCAAATCTGACTGATCAAACTATTGAGATCTTCTAGCTTTTAAACTATCAGCATACTGAATAGCTTGACCTACTGTGAACTTATTCGTATCTTCACCAAGAAGTTATGCGAGATAATTAATAGTGTCTTTATATTTTACACTCATAGATGCTGATACGTTGAGAATCTACTGCCTTCTTTACTTTTCCAATTACAATATAGGACATACTTTATAGGGGAAAAATTCATCATTAGATTCATCATAAGCATTAATTACTGGTGGATAATAGTTATTTGGCAATGGAGATAATCCTAGCTCTTCTGATTCTGTTTTGACACTGTCATCAATTTAAATTCGAGGGATAGCTTCAGAAGTCTAATTCTCTTGGATTTGATTATTTTCATTCATTTAATGTGAATTAAATAGTCCAAGTAGCTGTGCATTTGCACTTTCAATGCTTCTATTAGTATTAAGTGTCCTCACAAATACTTCCAATGGATTATATGTATCATGTAGCAACCCAGTCCTAGTAATATAGTTTTATCGCATCTGCTGACCAATCAAATATTATTATCTTCTTCCCATATCATGTAATTCACCCTGATAAAAATTTGGAGTCTTGTGGAGATCTTTGTCAAGACCATTAGCTATACCGTACTTTCCAATCTAGAAGGCGAACATTACTTCATCTGCTGCCTTAGAATAGCTAATAAAAGTGGTTGATAGAGTTAGTATCGAGAAAAATGTCAGAATTCTCATTAATAATAATCTTATTAATTTTACATTTTCAAATTTGAGAGTTATAAATTACACTCGGGGTTTTGGGGTTTTGGGGTTTTGGGG